GCATTCCGTGTGTGTGTGTGTGTGTGTGTGTGTGTGTGTGTGTGTTTGTGTGTTTTCAAAATCCCACCAGGATGGAGAAATGGAGATGGGACTGCAAGATGACAACACTCCATGAGGGGTGCTTTTTCATTCTCTGTGCTTACACTTGGCAAACTGAAAAAAAATATGTGTTTATGTGCATTTTAAAAGCAAAAATAACTTATAATAATTTTTAATATTTTTATGGTGGACAGAAGAATAGCAAAACTCATGTGAAAAATAATATTAATAATAATAATAAATAAATTTTTAAAAATGAAATGGAGGATAGAGATTGTGTAACACCCCAGTCAGGAGGGCTTTTGCTTTTACTGTTCATCTCGTTGAGTGTATGTGCCCTTGGCAATTAAAAAAAATATTCCAAATACCAACAAATTTCTTAAGTGTTTTCTAGAGATTGAAAAAAAGTCAGAAATTTCCTAACAAGTAATTTGAAAAAGAAAAAGAAAAGTCAACTTTTAAATATTACAACTGGAATAATTTTTCTTACCTAGAACAGAAATTCTCAAATTTAAAATGTATCTCATTACAGAACTAGCTTTATTTTGAAACTTTAAACAAGGACTAACATTATAAAACAGTGTACACAGTGTTTCTTAACTGCTCGTTCTCCTAGGCTACATCACTGGGATTTAAATATTCCAGAGAAGAGCCAAGAATAAACTTAAGGTCATTTGTGTATTCAACTAAATACAACAGGTTCTTGCTTTCTGGGTCGAAGGCTTCCAACTCTTTGGGGCAAGCGAACAAGAGATTTGTTGAAACCTGCCGGTAAAACTCTGCCTCTGCAATTGTAACAATTTCCAAATTTGGAAAATTGCGGCGAAACCTGCAGGATGATATTTGCAATTTCTTAAGAACGTCGGAAAGCAATAACCAATTTTGCGACCTACAAAATAAAAAGTAAAGTGGTTCAAATTTCTGTTAAAATTAAAAGTTCTCCATCTGAAAAGACTGGTTTATAGATATAACAAGAGTCACTTATTTCCACTTTACCTCCCTGCCATTTCTCCCTGTACCTGCTTATTGGCAAACATAATCCTTTCGATGTGAGGGGAAGTTTCTACTTCTGGTGTGAGTTACTCTTGCTTCATCTGATTTTTTCCCTTTTGTTACACAGTTCAGGCATTTTATTTTGCTATTATTCAAAAGTGAGAGAAGAGTGGGTCTTTCTAACTTTTAATTCTCTGGAGACACGCTATTGTCCACTAGACAGCTTAGTTAGGCCTGAGTCAATCCCAAGGCACTAAGTCAAAGGTGTTCTATAATTCTTTTCCAAAAACCAGAGAAATAACAAATATTAACAGTCTCCAGAAGGAATAAACTTTTCAGATTAATTTATGAAATAATAATCTACCACTTGTTTACATCTTCAGAGAAGCTGATACAATTCCTGTTTTACTGGAAGTTTCTTTCTATCAGTCATAACAGAAAAAGGCCTGTGAATAATCTTCAGGAAGCTGTCCTCTCCATTAGGCCACAGCACTTAGGTTTTACACAGGTGAAAATCCCAATGACTCAGTCTTTGTAATCTCCCACTTCATCCACATTTATAGAAAACATAGCTGTGACTTCAGGAAGACAAGGGGAGTCACAGATGTTTGCAGATTCCTGTTTCCTCCCTTCCTTTTCTAAGCCTAGTCATTGATGTGTGGGTGATGTGTCTTCCAATAGGTTTTAGGATCTGTAGCAAGTATGGCCACACCATCCACTTGGGCTACCATCTGGGTGGTAACTACTACTGCTATACCAAACTCATCAGCAAGTCTCAGAAGCAACCGCAAAATCCTGGCAAAGTGCTCTCCTCCGCCATGTAGTCTGTTCTATATAAGGCAATGGCACTGTCTAAAATAAATAGTACATATCTGGATTCTATCATCATGGCTAATGCTTGATAAAGGAGCTGAGTCCAATGGTCTCTGCTAAATCCTCGAGCATATGCTACATTATCCAGTACATCACTGCAAGAGGTATTATTTCTCTCAGCCTCTGCTAGCAGCTGTCCTGGATTAAAGATTCCCTCACTGTCAACATCTGTGGCCTTCCCTTCATCTCCACCCCAGTCAAAAAGAAGCAAAATTTTATCAGCTTTGGTTTCACTAATTTCCTTAATATTTATTAGCTCCTTTTTCGGTGCATAGACAATAGCCTCTGCAGGGATGGAATCTGGCCTCTTCCAGGTTTTTCTTATCATTGGCATTTATGCCACATTGCTCTAACCATGAAATAGGTTATGGACCAAAGCTTTCCTCTTCCACTTAAGTATCTGCACTTGCTTCAAGCTGCACTTTCATAGCACTACTGACATGCCCCTTCACTCTCTTCAGGGCTGGGTCTCTGCTATAGCCCACACACCATGTCTGGTAGCCTTCAGAAATTCCACCAAACCCTCACAGGTCATGGTCATATTGGCATCCACAGGATGTCTCCTCACCCTTCTTGGACCTGCCTTCTAGGTGCTTTCATCGTTGCTGGTGTGCCTAATTCTAAAACAGACCCAAGGAACCTGAACCTGTATGATATTAGAAATTGTTCTTGGAACCAGCAGTTAGCTAATGGCTATGTCATTGGACTCCCATGTAGTCAACCGTGGTCTGAGTCCTGTACCCAGTGGCTTAAACTCATGCCAGGCACGTGTGCTTTTGTGCTCAAGATCCCAAGAAGAGAATGGAGAAGAAGGGATTGCAGCATGGCCATCCCCCCATGGGGGTTGATTTCTTGCTTTCTGTCTCTCTGTCTCTGGCTTTCTGGGGAGCGCACAAGCCCTATGGCAAAAACCTCTTCAAAAAAAGAAAAAAAAAAGAAATTTTTCTCTGTCCCTTTCCCCCAGAGACTAATCCAAACTTTGAGAGCTGCTGCACCATTCCTCTTCATCTGATTTTAAGAGGACATACAGAAAATACATTTTGTTGTATATACAGCAGGAAGAAATCTCAGTGAGCCTACGTATAATTTGGTGTTACTGCTAATGAGAGGAGATATAGTCCTACTCATCTCTTACCACAATTTGAGTTGTGACTTTAGACATGTCCTCGAAAGAAAGAAAGAAAGAAAGAAAGAAAGAAAGAAAGAAAGAAAGAAAGAAAGAAAGAAAGAAAGAAAGAAAGAAAGAAAGAAAAGGAGATCTATCCAAACTTTGAAAGCCGCTGTCCCATTCCTCATTTGATTTTAACAGGACATAAAGAGAACACATTCTGTTGTATATACAGCAGAATGAACAGATATAGTCCTACTCATCTCTTACCACATTTTGAGTTATGACTTTAGACTTGTACCTATATACTCTCTGAGAGAAGCAAGGTTGTAGCAAACCCAGAGGATTAATTGCAATTATATCTTTGAGATTTCACCTTTCCCAATCCTTACTAATTTTTTTCCTTTGAAGGGGTTTTTGCTATAGGGTTCATGTGCTTTCAAGACAGACAGAGAGAGATAGACAGAAAATGAGAAATCACCCCTTGGGGGGATGACCATGCCTCATTCCCTTCTCCTCCATGCTCCTCTCGGAATCTTGGACACGCATGAACATGCACCCGGCATGAGTTTAAACCACTGGGTCTGGGATGAAAAACGCGGTCAACTACATGGGAGTCCAGCAACATAGCCATTACGCTAACTGCTGGTCCGAATCCTAATTTTAAACATACACGGGTATCACCTTTTTTCTATTCACACTTATCTACCACATCCTTAATTTCCTTTAGGGGTAATGTGTTTGAGAATGAAGATGTTACATTCCTTATACACACCAAGCAAAACAAGTTTACAATTTATTTTTAAAACTGCCAGAGGGAACTTGTGCTCATTAGATGGGGACAGAGAGTAAGAAAAGTAGAAAGCACAGCCCCCCCAACGAGGTGTGATCTTGCCATCATTTCTTTACCTCCATTATTCCATCCTGTCAGTATTCTTGGCACAGATGCATATGTGTCTAGCATGTTTATGTTTTTCAAGCTGGAAAGACTGGATTCAAACCACATCATCAATCAGATAGGATCTGGCTCTCCTATTAGGTTAGGCAGGCTGGCACAATTTATGATTTCTATTACTAATAAAACTATCCCTCATGATGGTATAGATAGCACATGGAGCCTGAAGGGGATGTAATCATTAAATACTTTTGTAAACACACAGCGCAATCTCTTGACATACACAAAAATAGTCCTTTGACAAGGAATTGTTTACTGGGTGCAGTGATTTTTATTTAATTTGGTAATGTTCTCATACAGATAACTCACACTGTGCTACAAAACCCACACAATGATTTTATAAATGCTACATGGATGGGGGCACTATCGATATATTACAGTACACCTGATATATCCAAGTACATTTCTACAATGGTGCATCAGAAAGTTCACTAGGACTCCTTCCCAAAGATTATATGGCTAAAACTTCCAAGCAGTCAATTTTTTCACACAATTCCAATAATTTACAACTTCAAAGCTTTAGGCTCTGATATTTTATTTAATTTGGTGATGTTCTCATAAGGGTAACTCACATTGTGCTACAAAACCCCACAACCACCAAAATATAATTAATATTTTGCAGGAAAAATCTACTTTATTATAAATCAGGTACATTTAGAACTCACTCTCTCACCTTTGTCTATTTGAAACTTGTTAGTACTAAGACTAATCCAAAATACATTTCAGCTAGTTTTCTACCAAATAACAGACATGCTTACCTCTGAGAAAGAGACACTTGAATGTTATAACATGGCAAGAGGGGTCTCTCTGAAAATTCAAATTCAAACACATTATTGTAAGTCTCATCATTATCATTCTCATCCTCTGGTCCTGGAGGGTTTGCCAAAACATCATATCCAGCTTTATTATCTGGTTCTGATAAAGGGGAACAAAGAAAGAAATCATTCCTGAAGTTCAGCTGTCCTAAAATAATAATCTCTAAATAAGAAGAGATTATTTCCTAAAAAAAAAATTCAGTTTATAACACCCACTATCCACCTCCCTTACCCATAATACAGAGTAATGTTCTGCAACTCAGTTACTTCCCCTAAACTATAAATAATATTGCTCACCACAGACAGAGCTGCCGACAGACCTGCCATAGAACTCCCAAGAGTCATTCACCTCATTTTCACTGTAACCCTGTAGGTCATTTAAATAATCTGAAGGGGGAAATTTTGATAAAATTAGAAAACCTGTTAAATAACAAATAACAAACAAAAATTCATTACATTTACATACAGTAGAATCGACCAGTCCAACAAGGAAATTGAGAAATTTACAAGTGCAACAAAAGAAAAAATGTTTAGTAGTCAAGGAAGCAGAAGAAGTATATACTGAAACCTGTAAAACTTTGCTGAAAGAAAGCAAAGATTAAAGAAATGAAGTGTTAATGAATTAGAAGCTGTAATATTATAAAGATGATAATACCATTCAAATTAATCTACAGATTCTAAACAATCTTTACCAAAATCCCAATGTCATATTTGGCAGAAAGAGAAAAACCATCTAAAATTTCAGATAAAACCTCATCACCTGAATAACCAAACAGCCTTGAAAAAGAATAAATTCTTAGAACTCACAATTCTTGACTTCAAAACTTACCAAAAAATTACAGTGATCAAGAATGCTTGATAAAATATGACCTCCTTACATAAGACTCTCAGCAAAATTGGCACAGAAGTGACAATTCTTAGCGTACTTAATTCCATATATAAGAAAACCACAGCGGGAACAGCAGTTGGCCTAATGGCTATATCGCTGAACTCCTATGTAGTCGACTATGGTTTGAGCCCTGGACCCTGTGGCTTAAAGTCATGCTGGAAGCATGTGCATGTGTACCCAATATCCCAAGAAGAAAATGGAGGAGAAGGTATTGTGTTGTGGCCATCCCTCCTGGAGGGTGATTTCTCTCTTTCTGTCTCTGTCTTTCTGTCAACCACACGTGACCCTATAGCAAAAACCTCCCCAAAAAAGAAATTTAAAAAGATAGCTATAATAATTCTGAATGGGAAAAACGGAAAGCTTTTTCACTTAAATCTGCAAAAAGTTAAGGCTTCCACCTTTCTCCACTGCTTTTTAACATAATATTGTTAATCCTAGCAAGTGCAAACAACAACAACAAAAAAGAATAAAATAAAAGACACTCAAATAGAGAAAGAAGAAGGGAAATTAACCGTATTTGCAGATGACATGATTATAAACACAGAAAACCCCAAAGAACCCACACAATAAAACTCCTTGAAGTGATAAACAAATAGTTAAAAGTAGCAGGATATAGAATCAAAAAAAAATTAAAAAATCTATAGCATTTCTATACACCAACATGAGCAGACTGAGACATAATTAAAGAAAGCAATCCTGTTCACAGTAACTAGAAAAAGTATAAGATACATCGAAATAAACTATACTAGAGAAGTCAGAGACCTCTATAAGGGAAACTATGAAAATACAAAATTAACAGAATCAAAATGTGAATTAAGATAGTAAAATTAATAATATAATCAAAATCAGTTAATATTATCAGAATTAATCTAATCAAAATGTCAGTTCTACACAAATTAACCTATTTAATGCAAACCCAATCAAATTAGCAGGGACATTCTTCATGATTTAGGACCAAGGGTCACAAAATTTATCTGTAATCATAAAAAATCTTGTACCCTCAAGCAATTCTATGCAAGAGTGAGTAGGAGGCATCTCACTCCCTGACCCTAAAATATATCACAAAGTTGTAGAAATCAAAATAGCATCAGCCTGGCACAAAAACAGTCATGAAGAATAATGCAACAGAGACCCCAGAAATTAACCCCAAAACATATAGTCAATGGATTTTTGACAAAGGACATCAGACAATCCAGTGGAGAAAAGAAATCTTCTTTAGCAAATAGTAATGAACAACTGTGTATCCATCTGCAGGAAGATTAAACTGGACCCCTATATAACAACATTAACAAAATAACTTAACAAAATTAACTTAAAATAGATTAAAGAATTAAACCTAGGACCTTAAGCTACAAAATTATTTGAAAAAACACAGAGGAAATTCTTGGAAACATTGGAGTAGAAGATTATTCTTTAAACAAGACCCCCAAATCACAGAAAATAACACCCCAAAAATAGGATTATATTATATTTAAATCTACACAGCAAAAGAAACAATAATTGAAGTAAATCAACAACTGTAATAATGAAAGAATATATTTGGAAACTATTCCTCAGATAAAGAACTATTAACCAGGATACACAAGAACTCAAACAGCTTACCTGAGGGGAACAAAACGATAAACCCAATTTAAATATAAGCAAATAAGCTAATACAGACAGCTCTCTAAGGAAGATATAGGAAGAGCAAAGAGCATAAGAAAAAAATGTTCAACATCCCTTATCAAAGTTAGATGTAAATCAAAACCATGAGTTTCCACATAGCTACATTCAGAATGACTGATATTTTTAAAAATTTTTAAAAAGAATGATAAGTGCTAGTGAGGCTGTGGTAAAAACAGAACTCTCTTATGCTGTTGGTAGGAATGTAAATTAGTACAGCCACTGTAGAGAACAATATCAAGGTTACTCAGAGACCTGCAAATAGAACCATCACATAATCCAGAAATACTCTTGGATATTTATCCAAATGATAGGCAAATGGTCAGAGAGACACTTGCACATCCATGTTTATTGCAGCATTATTCACAAATATTAAAACATGGAATCAATCCAAAGATCCATGAAGAGATAAAAGGATTGAAAAAGTGTGGAACATACACACTATGGAATATTAATCAACCATAATAAGACCCTAGCATTTGATACAAGTGGACAAATATGAAAGATTTACTACGAAGTCAAGAGAGCCAAATTGTGAATGAGAGGCATTGTATATCCCCA